ATATACAGCCTTTTGCAAAAATTATGAGAATTGTCTAAATATCTAAATATCATAATATCCATATCCATATATTGTCCGGAACACGCGGGTTTGCTAGAATAATTCATTGTTGACATCGAGAAAATGTTCAGAACTACGGATAAGTACGTCACCAAAAAAAACTAAACAACAAAGACAAGGGACTAAGGGCATCGCGCGGGATCATGCACTTGATATTATGATATTTAGATATTTCAACAATTCTCATAATTTTTGCAAAAGGCTGTAACCTAGCTAGTAGGTAATGCATCAAATATCATACCATTGACTTTAGGCTCTAGAACTTTATATGCCATTACTGCAGTGCTGATTTGTGTTTCAATATCACAAAACGCATCCTGATTTGCTTGACCATCCTGTTCTCCATTCTCACTTCCATTGTTCTGTTATTATAATAAGTTACAACAGTTTAAGTTGATGGGATACATTAAGAACAATATCTCTACAACATGTCATACAGAAGTAATTTGTATAAAAGCAGGGCTAATTCAGAACTCTTGCACAATTTCACTTTTATTCCCTTTCATTTCCCTTTCCATTAACCATTCTTCTCACCTCTATGTCRTGGTCCAAACAAAATCTATAAAACTGTTCTTTATCCTCAAATCTGCATTCCTTTGATACATGCTCCACTAATCCAGCAGTAACAAGCCTTATTTGCACTAATTCTACAGCCTAAAGTCAGTGACAATCAGAAAGCTGATTAATGATTGATTACTTAACTGGTAATAATTTTGTAAAGCATACCTCATTCCTTGTGTAAGCCTCTCCATTATGAATCATCCAGTCAACTAAATGCTTGGCAACAAAGCATTTTGAGTAGTGTCTTAGTAAACTCTGCAAATAGACAGTAGCAGCATTACAAAACATTTTAATATATTAATCACTATTTGATTTCTGAAGAAACAAGGGTACAATCTAATCTAAAATTTAATTATTTATTARCACTTGCTTTTCTGTCCTTAATGAGAGGTGGATTTGTAAAAAGTGTAATTTGCTGCTGATATCTCTCCCCCTGTGGATACAAATAGATAGAGTTGATGAGTTTCTGGTACATAGCCATCCACAGAATCATCAATGCCTTGAATGTAAATGGACACTAACAGAACCCTTCCAATACCTACCATTTCWGTTACACCTTCTTGTTGTATACCCAGAAGATATGACCTATTATTTACAAGGAAAGCACAATTAATGTGTTATTATAAGCCAATCTGATTCAACTCTATTTMAGAACAAACCTTATGTGAGCAAGAGTTTGTAGGTTTTTACTCGTTGTCACCACTGGGGCCAGCCCATTTTCATTTTTATAGAGGTTAACATATTCTWAAGAAGCAAGGGAAAGAGTTCAATTACATATAAAGGAATATCTTTGAAGGCAATGGAGTTCATGTATTGAATACAAGTCCACTTACTTAGCAACCAGTGAGTGAAGTTTTTACATCGTTCTGTATCTCTGACCATAAACTTATAGCTACCAGGAGATTCTCCATTGAATTCTAGGCGAAAACTCTAAGAAAAAAGAAGGGCTGATGATCTGAAGTTGATTGGAATATATCAAATTAAATTGTGAGCATYAATAAGGGTTTTACTTACATGTAAACTTAAGCCAAAGTCAACAAACTGAATATCTTTTAATGAGTACAAACCAATAAGTGATAAACATTCATTTGCACTTAACCTGTCAAACGAAGAGTGAAAATATTGGACTTAGCAAAAATATTGGACTGGTTGGATAGACTAGTTTATCTAGTATTTCATTGTTTAATTGATTAACTCATTCAAAAGACATAAATCTAACATTAGTGCACTCTTCAATAGGCTGCAATAACTGATATATTTTGACAAAGTAATAATAAAACCGTACCCAGCATTTTCATCCAGTCTAAGAATGTATATAGCAATATTAGATACAACTAAAAGAGCACTTGATTCTTTGAGGTCACCGTAAATGACAACAGGTGCCTGAAAGATAATTATAATAAATCTTAAACCTACAAAACTTAAATAAAAAATCTGTTAATATAATATACATGTACTTTAAACTAAATAATCAGATATGCATAGACCAATTACAAAGTTTACAGCCCTACATGAGAATTATCAATATATAACATACCTTAATCAAACAGTTTAGAAATTCTTTTTCTCCTCCAGAGAATAAAGATACTTCAAAATATAACTTAAGCCTGTGATCGCAGTCCTTGAATTCATCAGGAGAAATGTCAAATATTAATTTASATTTAGTTTGAGGAGTTTTACAGTTTGAAGAGTCTTGTTCCACAGGATTACCATTCACTTCAGACCCAGACATTTTAGTGCCAAATTTGCTGAAAAGGTTCCTGAAGACACTGGGTGCAGATGATGGACTTGATGCAACTCTTGGTTGATTACTAGAAATTTTTCTTTGGTAACTTTTTACAGAAGCCGACCCAGCATCATCTAAATCATTAGGCTGTGATGTCTTTGATTGTGGACTATCATCTGTAGTTTGCCGAGTTGATGTTTTTAATGCTATTGGACTGTCAATAAAACGTTTTTGCACTGTTACAATGTTTGATCGTCTAGGAGTTGACTCCTGTGTTTGTGCAACATCACTTTTCATTGCATCGGMATTCTTAAGAGAATTACTAAGAACACTTGATGTGTGTGTTGGTGATGATGTTTTAGCTACAAATTGCTTGTTGACAATAAAACTTGCATCATTATTGATGATGAAGCCTGGTGATGGATTGATAGAAAAACTCTTTGTGGTTTCACTCTTGATCACTTGAGATTCTTCTTTAGTAGATGGACTGTTGTTATCAAGACTTTTCTCAGTGACATTGAACACTTCTAATTCGTTTCCAGGCTGCTGTATATTATAACCTTTTTGGGGGCTATAGATTTCTAGTTGATTGATATCTGCACCTTTGCTCAGAGGCTCATTGGACCTACAAAAATATCCATTTTTTATCACTATTTGAAATACTATAAGATTCAGTTGTATAATAATAATGTTGTTTATCACAGAGACTGTAATATAACCACCTGAACAACCACATTAATTAACAAAATAGCCATTCTGATATCTTGCCATTCAAATACCTGTCAAAGTCACATGAACCATCAAATATCAAACTGTCATTAGTCAACAATTCAATCCATCAAACAAACAACCTCTCAATTTTCAGACTTAAAGTCTATTACATGGGGGGGGGGGGGGGGTATCCCAAATTTTCATTGAGGGTTCCTTACATATCAAATTGTCACTATGAAGTCATATGACGTCAATATTATGTCATATCAATCTATGGTTTTTGATTTGAATTGAAATGAAATGGCACTGAGAAGATAGAAAACTGAATTTCTTAACTGCTTAAGTTAATTTGMAACAAATCCTCACACASTGCACCAACAGTTAGATTTTTTGGTTTGAAATAGGGGGGAGAAATGCTCAAGAGTGGATATATTTACAATCAAATCATAAACAATAACAAGAAGATATTGCAAATGCAGACTTATTCATGAATGTCAATGATATTTAATTACCATGCATTCTTTGCATTACTTTGACCAAAGGTTGGAGACTGGTTCTGAGGCTCAGTGTTAGTATCATTCTGTTTCTCATTAGTATTTCTTTTGTTTATTACTGTTTGATCAGGAGAAGGAACCTCAATTATCTGTGTACTACCACAATCAGGGCAAATATGGTCACTAGTCTTGGTAACATTCTCTGTGAAGTATGCTGAACACTTGAGGCACTRCAATCAATCAAATATACATATTACACATGAATTGATCAAACTAAGAAAGACATAAATATGACATTCATGTTATTCATACCTGTAGATGTTCTGTAATAATGATGTTTTTAGCATTTTCATTTGACTTCATGAAGGGATGAAGAAGCTCCAGAAATTGCTGCCAAAATAAAATTATACCAAATCAAGATATACTTTAAATTATTATTTATTGAATATCAGATAAATATTTATACCTCACAATTGTCCCTGCCATCCATGATATAATAACGTTCTTTACGTTCTTGACTCAAGTAATCAAACTTAAGATGTATAAACACATCACCATCCTCTGATTCTTCTATATTTGCTGAGAGTAGACTTCCTGTTTCCAGTTTACAAACAACCTGCAGAGTACATTGATAATACAAATCAATTCTTAAACACTCTACTTGATACTAGGCTGTGAATGGCAGTAGTTCTGCAACAACAACAACAACAACAACAAAAAGCGGTTACAATGTTTTTACTTTTCCATTGTCACAGTCTCTTTCTCTGATAAAGTGATCTGTCACAGTAACAAGCAAATCATGATCCTCTTCATCATCTTCGTGGCTGCCATTTGYRCTGCTCATYTTCTTTAGAGTGACAATGAATGGTTGTATTATACCTAAAAATAGACAACATTTATCTACACTCAAAATTATATTGTTTGGGTGATTTTAACAGCTGTCATTCTAAGAATGCATGCAAATATGTCAACGTACCTGCCACTACTTGTTCATCATCTGAATGGAGACTTGCAATGGATGCTTTCCTTTCAATTGGAGGAGGATTGACGTCCACMACAACATTTTCATGATGTACAAAATATGGAGAAGTCCCRAATGATTCAGCTTTTTCATCTAAAACAAACATTCAAATCAGTGAAATTTGAATTGAATTTGAACTTTGCCAGTCCATAAAAGAGCTTTGCGCACAAAATAAGGCTATCAAATCTACATTATTAAGTACAGCARTCTTTTGTGGTGTACACACACAAAAACTAACCCTTTTCTGGTTGTTGTTCTGTTTGTTGACCATGTAAAACATGATTGACAGCTGGCAGCCAATCTAAAACAAAAAACAGATTCCAGTTACTGTCTGAAAATACACAGCCAATAAAATATTCTAATCACAAGACATAAAACTTACGTTCACCACCTAAGTTCCTAGCTGCTTCTAGACGTTCTATATCTTGGGAATGGTCTAAAAACAGTTCTCCTTGAGCTAATAAATGGTACAGTAGTTAGCTATAAAACACTAAATATCATATATTCTTTTCTAAAAAGGATATTGAGTTATGGTATATAGTTCTTGAACTCTAAAAAAAAAACTTTTATATAATTGCTTACATGACACTGCTGAGCTTGAGTAACCATTCTCATTCTCAATATCCGACACWATGGAAACATTCCTTGGCTTCACTTTCTTGGACTTCTTTTTCTACAAAATAAGTAAAATTATAGTTTTATAAAATTTGTAATTTTGGCTCTGCTTTTTTTAAGCCCATAATATGTACAGTACGTTTTCACAGCATTTCAAGCCAAACACAGCCTGTCTTGAATGCAATAAAAACATTTGCATTGGAGGCAAACACATTTTAAAAACCTTTTTATTGCCTCAAAAAACAAAAATACAAAAATCTTTACAGTTAATCAAATCCACAGTTTACATATAATTTAAAAGATTTATTTGATTTATCTTATAAATATTGTCTAATAAATGATTTTTGTAAACCTTTGTTGCTCCAGATACTAAAGGTTGGTCTGACATATCCTGTGATGTTTCAGCAAACACTTCATCATTTAACTTTGTTGATAAATAGGCTAATGGAGACACAGGATCAACACTGATTCCTACAAACTAATAAACAATATTCCTTTGTTACATGTCCGCATATTATCATTTATTTTTCATGAATATTGTTTATTCTACTTACTGTTTTCTCAATAGGAGATAGCTTTTCATTATCAAGAAACATCTATAAAATAAAGTAACCTATTGTATCAGAATTCTGCAGTTGAATTAACGCTTAAGTAATTATTCTAAAACAAAAAATAATTCAAACATATGAAATCAAATTTACTTTGATAAAAACACAATAAGATAATAATTTATATCATAGAGCATTTATCTGGTTAATCAACATTTGAATAAATTAAAAAATATAATATTTCATACTTCAAAGGAACAATAATCATGGTTATTTTTAATTCACAATGACTTACGTCATTCCTTCTTGGAAATGGTGATAARCAGGAAACAGTACGAACACGGTAATCAGCACAATAACACACAGGGTTACCAGTCAGCTGAAGCTATAAACAAGATATTTGTTACTTGATAAAAGTACATTTTAGTTATGAACAATAATGAATTGTATGAAATAATAAATGACTGAATGAATAAAAGAATAAAGAAATAGAATGATGTACAAACAAGTAAATGAGTRCATGGCCAAGAACTTAGTGTTTACTTACACACAAAAGTCTTTCCAAATGTGCTAAAGGAAACAGTTCTTGAAATAGGGTTATGCAGTTGTTAGACACATCCAATATCTCTAGCAATTTAAACTGCTCAATACCTAAGACAGAAAAGTCCTAGTAACATCACATGTCTAAATTAATTGTAYAACAAGCAACAGTCAAAGTATGCTGTATATATTTACATACCATTTAAATTTTGGATGTCATTATTTTTGAGAATTAGAGTTTTGAGTGAATGCTTTATATTGAATGCAGAGGYACATGGGACCTTGTTCAGTTGATTATAACCAAGATTGATATAYTTCAATTCTGAGAGAAACTATACAAAAAGAATACAGGTAAGTAAAGGATTTGTTACAGCTACTGTTGAGTCTTGCAAAGTACCTGCAAACATTTTTATTTCTTTTGCAAAATGCATACCTGCCAGCCATCATCCTCATCAGCTGATACAATATTATTATGGCTCAAATTTAAAACTTCCAATACTGGTAAAACTTTCTAGAAACAAGAATAAACAAATTATACATGAATGAATTAAGCCATAAATTTGTCTTATTACAATACTTTACCAGAGAGTTGTCAATAGTGTTGATGCTGTTGTAGCTTAAGTTTACTTCCTGCAGCCTTTCCCAAGCAAAAGGTGTGCTGGAGAGATCACCTCCACAGCAAATAAACACTTCCTAATAGCAAGCAACACGAGCCAATGAGAATAACTAAGTTTGTATGGTAAAGTTACATTTATCTCTTTTGTTTTTATTTTGCCAAGCATGCACAAAATACACTTCAACATATCTTAAATTAAAACCACTTGAACTGTAATGCACATTGTAAACTCACACTTAAAGCAAATACAGAACGAAAGCAAACCAATCCTTTCAGTTGCTGCCTTAGACTTTGAATTCCAGTTATATAACCAAGAGGAATTTTCTTTATCTTGACAAAAAAATCAAAGTAATTTGCTTGTTATATTATATATACATGTAATATCATAGCATACATGTATAATATTAATCAATCTTATATTATATTACAAAACAACTACCATGTACCTCTAGAAACTGCAAATTTTTAAAATGCGATATATTCAACAAGATATCCAAGCGTGGAGATGGGCCAGGTACAATCTGAAATTTCATAATTCAAAGGACAAAAAGATTTGAATTTCAAATACATTCATGAAAGAATAAGGGGATAAATATATTGGTGAGTAGTAATGCTTACTGATAAAAGATCAATAATATACTTAACCATCTCAAAATAAAAGTACCTTAAGTGATATTGCTTCTTTAGTGAGGTTGCTTAAAAAATCCACACTWGACTGTGATGATTTTGAATAATATCTCTCTGCTTCATATCTTTCTTGATCTAATGATATACAAATAAAAGCTACAATAGACAATAGACCTAGTTTCCTCAAAATGGCCAGAAAAACTCTTTTTCAGACTAATATATTGACAATGACCCCTAATACACTAAAGCTTCACTTAGACTTTGTCTAAAAATCAAGCAATTTCACAAGAAAAGCTGTAACGATATAATATTTTGAAACTGCTTATTTTACCGAAAAAATAATATGTCTGGAGGTTAACTTCAGGTTATATTTAAGACTTAATTAAGCTTAACAACTTCTGGCTGTAAATGCAATCTTGTCATTTATACCTGAATGTGCCTGGTCAAARCATTTATCCAGAAACACCACTGAATTCCCAGTCAAACAAAGTTTGCTTTCTCCATTCCTAATGTTAGATTCTACAAAGAACAAATTTGTAATAATAAATTCGTGAAGTAGCGAAACTGTTTGCCGGTCATGTGACTAAAGTTTATCACTTTCTGAAGCAAACAATAAAAGGTTATTTTATTTCGTTCTGTTTTGTTTTTAATAGAATAGAAAGTRATGAGAATTTTCATTTCTTTTATGACTGAGCACAAAATCAAAACAAACAAACGAAGATTGTTAGATGACAGAGATGACAGAGCTAAAATATGCGATGACAGGTTGAGGGCAAAATTGCATGAAAATTCACGAAAATTACAAACCATGYTGTCGAAGACTCGAAGCCAACTTAGTCAAAAGTTCATCGCCACTGGGATCATGCATTTCATAAGCCAAAGAACATACTTTGAATTATTTTTGTGATCAACAAATTAATCCTTCGCCTCTTCCTTTTCTGCATGCATCAAAACGAGGGTTTATGATTGACACCGCTTTTGATTGCGGGCTCAAACAAAATCATACACAAGTGTTGTTTTTGTATCGTTCTTATATTCCTCGAGAAAACAAAAATATGTCAAAAGCCCTGAAGAAGATAGTCGATGAAACTAAAGAGCATGGATAYACTGAATTAGATCTTTGTGATCGTGGTATTTCGAACATTTCTGATATCCCAAATCTGAGTAAGTAGAGACGATAAACATCGTTTTAGTAAGTTAAGCTCTTATAAGCGGCTGCTCTTTTCGCTCAAGTCATTTGTGTTGCTATATTTTTGTCATATTTATTGTACTTTCTYTCTTTTCTGTATTTCAGCGAAGCTACGAAATCTTTCAAGACTGACTTTAAGTCATAATAAGATAACAAGTGAGTGTAGTATTGAGGAGTTTTCGTAAGACTTTTGTACGTGCATTCCTTTACTGGGAGGGACATGACGTCTGACAAGCACTGGAAAAATGTTTTCGAATATTCACTGATAGCCATGTGTATTCCAAGGTGTTTTCATTTTGGTGACAATTTAACATTGAATTATAAGTCCTTCATAAGTTTTCTGTCCATAATGGCAAAGGCAATTGTGTTATAAGCTTATAATTATTTATATGTACATGGGGGGAGGGGTAGAGGAAGGGACAAAGACGCAATGATTTTAGTGCGTAATTACTCGTGACCAGGCCCTTGGCNTTCTTTACATCTAAACCAGACCCTCCTTAGAGCGTCAACTCGGTCGAACTATTTTTGAAAATTGAGACAGACAGTATATTACATGGTTGGTCAAACACAAGAAAAGTTTTAAATGAGACAGCACTTTTCAACACATTTAGGGCACGAGTACACCCTGATGTCAGGGTCTAGTATTATCTAGTTATGCATTAGTTAATTCTAAAAATTCAACTTTGAATGAATGACACAAAGGCATTTGAGTATGTTGCCACTGTTTTTCTCGCTGTTCCATTGAAGAGTATTGAAATTATTTTGTATTTCACGGATTTATGGCTGCTCTCATTGCATCATTGCTAATGTTTACAATATTTTTTAGCTCTGCCTTCTTCAATAGTAGAACTTCAAAACTTGGAAACATTGAATCTTTTCAACAATCACATTGAGGTAATTTAGAATAACGAGAAACCCATAAAAAAGTTAGAAATTACTGTGTTTTAAAAGCTKCTTTCATATGCTGAATTTAACATGATGTATCTGATGCAAATGAGATTGCATGAATCAAGCAATCAACAAAAATTAGCCTGTGCCCATCTCTCCCTAACCCCCCCCCCCCCCCCTACCAGTGATAGATATTGCAGAGGGTAATCTAATAATTAATTTTGGTTATACGTTGCAACATTAAAATTGCTGTTATCTTAGGATCTGCCAATTTCACTTGGTTCATTACCAAAACTCAGACATCTAAATCTTGCGTAAGTATTTCTTATGTTCTCTGCATCTTTATCATTTGCTACTGCATTGTACTAACAATAAAAAATGCTTTAATGATACAGGGTTAATAGGCTTAGTACTTTACCCAAGGGTCTTGGAACAGCCTCTGCTTTAGAGATTCTCGATGTCACTTACAACAACCTAAGTGAACAATCGCTTCCAGGAAACTTTTTCATTATGAGTAAGTTAAAAATAACATATAGTTATCATAATCATCGTCAACATTTACTGTAAATTTTTTCATCATTAGAGTATCAATATCATTTTGAAGTCAAAATTTAGGTCATCAATTTAACAATTCSCAGGCGGTTTTCCATTGTCTGTACTCTTATTGACAATGAAATTGACGTCAAAATGCTCAAAACTCAAGTGGAACCACGAGCGTAAGCGAATGGTTTCACTGCAAAGTTTTGAGCATTTTTGACGTCAATTTCATTGTCAATAAGAGTACAGACAATGGAAAACCGCCTGCGAATTGTTTTTTACCATAAAGAAAGCTGAAAACAAAGTGAAACTTTAAAAATAAAACCGTTTCTAGCGCGCGCCAGCTCCGTGCGCGAGCGATTCGTCATTTCATCCGTCTGCCCTAGGATTGACAACGGCTCTCGACCAATCAGCGCGCTAGAATTCTACAAGTTATTGTAAAAAACAATATAGATGCCATAATAACCATTACCAAAAAATTTAATCTAATATTTCATTGACATTTTTTTAAAAACTCTTATTAGGTCAACTAAGAGCTCTTTATTTTGGAGACAATGACTTTGAAAGAATTCCATCAGAAATATCACATTTAAAGAATTTACAAGTGGTAGGTATCTAGTCAACACAACAAATCTGTAAAATAGATAACTAAGGCCCAGTTCRGACATCAAACTTTTGCTGTATATATCTTATTGCTGGGATTTAGTTCATGGAAGGCTTGCATTTTTTTGGTTGAATTCAATATAATCTTTAAAATTGTCAATTGATTTACACGCCACACTTCTTGTGAATTACTGAATGCTAGCAATTGAAATCAGACTATACAAAAGGTCAACATCTGAACTGAGACTAAGCAAATTGCACCAAATTATGTAAACTCCTTGTTTCCTATTGTCTTATCAACACTATTTAGCAGTAATTGACACAAGCTATTTCATATATTGTGTACCAATATAACTGAAATGTTTACTAAAAGGAACCTTRTCTTGATTAATAGTTAGTGTTACGTGACAATGATATTGTTGAACTGCCTCCTGAACTGGGAGAATTGAGCAAACTCAGGGAACTTCATGTACAGAATAATAGACTGATGGTGTTGCCTCCAGAACTGGGTAAGATAATGGCAAAAATAGAGCTCAATAAAACAATAATATAGTGATATTCAAACATTATTTCAAAAAATTCACTGTAGATTGATGTCCAGTATGAAAGACTGCATAGAATGGGAATGAATATGATTCATATTACCATGACAACAACAACAACAATGTGTATTTTCAGGTGCTTTGAATCTTGGCAGCCCCAGGCATGTTTTTAAAGTGGATGGGAATTCTTGGATTCAACAAATTGAGGATCAAGTGGTGTTAGGAGTATCTCATGTCATGGACTACATAAGAACTGATACATACAAAGGGTGAGCATATTATACACACATACAAACTTTWGATTAGTTTGGAAAACAAGAATAGCTTTTCATTATTTTTGATATTATTTCAATATTTAATAACTGTTTAGAATCTATGAAAATCATGTGAAGTCTCCTCCTGCTCCTCCTCCAAAGAAGGAGAAAGAAAAGACGCTAAAAAAGAGCAGAAAAAAGAACTGATGGTAATAGCTATCTAATAAATTGATTATATTGAAAAACTAAATATTTTTAAGTTTAAAACTGTAATTTATCAAGACATAATACAAGTACATTTTTATCAAACTGTGTTGCTGTTATAAGAAATATTTACTGTAGAGTAGCAGTGACAATGTGTAGGAAGAAAAACTCTTGCTCCTAAGAATATCGTTTCCTGAAGCCAATACCAAGTTTCTTTTTTAATTCGTATTTGAAAAGGATAAAATGATATTGTAGTTATGCAATTCTGTTCAAGGTCCTTTTTGGGTTAAAAGGAATTCTGGTSTGGTTACTGCCTTAACAGTATTGTAATGGTAGCGTGTTTGTGCATGCAATCTTAATTGTTTGTACATGTATATCCAATGTAATTTCTATGTACTTCAAAGAGAATATTTGAAGTCTATTGATGTGAAACAAGTGGAAATTCTATTATATTTTTTAGATATTAAATAGCATTAATAGTATAAGTGTATTTGTTGACTAGTAATCCATGCGCCTAGAATGTAAATACCAGCTTCCTTTCATTGGATGACGAAAGTGATATAATTTAGGCCACTTAAACCGTTCAGATTCTATCTTAGCATTTAGCACCCTAAAACAAAAACACAAATGATCCTTACTTCATATTATAATTACTTAATAATATTGTTTTATTGTATTTATTTACAAGACAATGAAAATGAATGATGTAGAATATGAGGTGGTAAACAAGCCTCACATTTAATTTTTAGGTCATGTGACATACCTGTCTAGTAGATTCCAGTCTTCTCCTCCCCAAGAGGTTTTGTATCTTTGGTCATCTCCTCCACCAAACCTGYCCCAGTCATTCTTATAGACACCCAATAAACCATATCCAGTTCTGTCCCAATAACCTATAAAGATTCAATTTGAAATACAACTTCTTTTTCTGGCTAGCYGAAGAASYYACAATTSTGACTGTGAWTTCTGCATTGGAGAAGACTATTTTGTGGTAAAATGGATCAGTTTCTTAACTATTATAAAAACAATTGAATCARATAGTAATAATAATTTAATGGCTTCCCAGTGTAATGCCGAGAAACATATAGTAAACAGCATATTAATTATGGCTGACATCAATACCATCACTTACCATCTGGATATGCATCTGATGTTGAGCATTCAAGTCTGAGAAGACTTGGRAAAAATGCTGCTTGTCCTCTGATTGTATGCTTAAAGTTAYAACAAATACAAGTTGAGGAGGTGTTGATAGGCTGGGTGCAACAGAGTAATGGTGATGGCGATAACACCGTGATATAAATAACACTGATGTTTAACAGCAAGAGTGTTTGTCATAACATAAAAATAGTGTCATGGAAAATGAAGCGTTGCAATAGGCAATAGTAATGTTACTGGAAATTCAAGGATAATTAGCGATGGTAATGATAATGGTAAAAAAATATATACCTTTCTTATAATATCAAAGAAACATRGTGGTATGGAGACGTGAAGGTCCATGAGAAACAGTATTGCATTTGGATCCTAAATGAGTATAGTTCATTATTGATAGTTACATTATGATATCAATACTTTACATGCTAATATGACTTAATTAACCTCAGTTTAATTAACCTAGGCAGTTACAAAATCATTATGGCTGTAAAGTTAACCTAGTTTTGAATTATGAGAAAGTTAATTCGTCCATTTCAAACATAAGTGTTTAGCRAAATGTTGGGAAAACAACAACATCTCTAATACCTTCACTGTTGCAGCACCTTTGTTTAGAGCAAGAGGTTTTTGAAAATCACCATAYATCGTTAATACTGTAAAACTGCAAACAAAATGTACAAATATAATCTCTTCACTATCTCTGACTTACCATAACACTCTGTGTGCCTTGCATTAAAAGTCCATTGATGGACATGTAGATTTAGTAGTTATGATAATGATAGACTGATGGYAATGAGTAAAATGTCTTATGTTTAATTGCTTTTAATTATAAGTGTATGATTCACTCWGATACCTCTTATTTAAAGCAGAATTCCTCAAATAATCCTTGGCATTGAAATCCRTACTATTAAAGTCTACTATCACAAGGTGGAAATTTTTCTCAGGGGTTTCTGTATAAACCTGAATACATCATAACATTGGTCAATAATCAGCCAAATCATGGTTTTATATCAAGAACAGCTTAAACTAGCAATTATATTACCTTTATTAGCTCATCAATAATGTATTTGACCCAATATCCATAGTTTTTCACTAAAAGAAAACTAGGAAAGTGAGTTATTGTAGTAAGATAAATTAATCATTAATCACATGAAGTGACAAATGTTTTCCATTTAATCGATGAAAAAAAAATTAAGTGCAATAAAAAATACTCTACCTGGTATAAGGATATAGATTTTAGCTGTTTTGTTCCACTGAAACTTCTCTGGATAGCAGAGTTCTGTAGTCAAGTTTTGGGTACTAMTATTGACTGTTTCACTGAACTTGAAAACATACTCTGACAATAGTACAGAATCAACTAAAAATGAAACATATTTTAACATTGTATGAGGGCTTATTTAGACTTTTCTTGTATTACATGCACAAACATGATYGAGGATGATTGAAGGGAATCAAGGGACATCGAAGAACACCATTTTGAATGAATGAACATGGTGGTGGAAGCTGTTTTTATAACAAAACTTGAATTGAGGTTATTTTATAAGCATTTATGAGGTGTACCTTGATCTTTTGGTACTAACTCCTGCAAAAGGCAAAAAAAATATCAGGTCTTAACTATTCATAAGCATAAGAGAATAAGCTAACCAGACCTCGTTATAAGACAGACTTTTCGTTGTCTTTTGTATATCATAAGTATCAAACAGAGGTCTCTCCAGGCTCTCTCCACACGTAACAAAAGAACCTAACTTGCCATGAGGAAGATTACATTTTGACCTTTCTTTTTCCATATTCTTTTATATTTAGTACAGAAAATAATGAGAACCAATACATACCAGTTCTAGTAAATAGCGAGTGCCTCGGTTTTTGTCAATTTTCTTCTCTACATTCACAATGTTCTTGAGTTGATATTGCTGTCTAGATGCATAAGTACAGTTTGGGTTTACTTTATATAGCAAGATAACACAAGTTCTTGAAAGTTCTTATGCAGACAATAACAGACCCAGGGGGTATTTAGAGGGTGGCTACACCCTGGATGTCCCAATCAAGAACAAATGAATTTAAAAAGAAAATTGAAATCCTCRATGCTGACTTCATTTAGGCTAAGATAATTCACACTCTCTTTTCTCCCTGATTCTTTTCGATCTTTTTGCTAATTGACATCATTGTAGTTGTATTCTGTGTGAGGAACTTGAACATGAAGCTAAAACGACAGAAAATGAAKCGGCTGACAACCATTTATTTTCTCTTGTTCCTTCTCCAGTATTATATCTCCTTTTTCACTTCTTTTCCTTTTTTTCCTTTCATGACTTTCATTTTGTCACCCTTCCTTTCTCTTCTAGTCCTTTCCACTTCTTTTTCCACTTTCAATCTTATTTTCTTCAGCGAATCTATGCCTTACCGCCCAGACGAGTTCAATTTCTTCATATATTCTTCAACAATTGTGTCAACTTCCTGAAGAATGAAATTTGAAGGAGTGTGAAAAGATGTAATTGGCTGGTAGAAAGAATGTCTTTCGCCTTGTGCAAATGCAAACACAGTGTGAATGAACACTTTTTGTGTTTTCATTTGTGTTTGCTTTTTCAAGGTGCAAATCATTAATGTTACGCTATTTACCTGCTTTTCGATTATTTTATTTCCATTTGAGTCCACAAAAACACCAGTAGTTTTATCGTCGGGATAAAAATCCGTCAGCCAAAAAGGTGCCTGTGAAATATAACTATAATGACATGCTGTTGTTTTATTTATCACTGTCATATTTTGATAATTAAGGCTTTACAGATATGTTGTTCGATTAAAAGATATTTATGTACTTACAAAGAAAGTTGCTCCATGCCAATCAGGGACAACTTTTGGCATATATGATGGTTCATATGGACAWGTATCGAGAATCATGGATACTTCACTGTGGTCAATAATATTATCTATAATACACAAGCATAAATCGTAAACTATATTGCGGCAGACTTCACTAGGGCCAATGATTCTTTTTCATTTAGTTCAAGAAGGAAAGGGATGAAATGACTTTTAAAGCTAGTTTAAAATACCTAAAACAGATATGAGTACCTTGACTTTCCTGGCTACTTTTAGACTACATAAGCTTAATATACTTAAATGTGTGAAGCACTGGCCATCATGAATCACGTTATTATTTTCTCTGCCACTAAAAGGTTATCTGGATTCTTATACTTACACTTCAAACAAATATCCTCTTTTTCCAAAGTTAGCTTTGATCTAGTTATCGAAGGCGTCTGTATTTAGAGTAGAAATCAATAGTTTATCAAACTGCATAGTTGGACAGTATTTTGTTTGTTTGTTCCTTTGCGCCTCTTTCCTTCCTTGTGTCATCCATCTGTTGATGGCGTTACTGTCTCATATCATACGCCAGACGCAAAGCATACAGTTATAACTAACGATAACGATAATATTATAACAGAGTTATAGTTCTTACCACTTTTAAAAATAATGGTTTATGATCTTGCAGTATACATTCTTTATGTTCAGATAGCGATGGTGGAAAATCCCCATAATCATCAGCTGAAGATGAAATGTTCGTTCAATAGTATTTAGTTTACGATGTTAATCGTATTTCACAACTGTTTCTTTAGAAACATCGACGCAGTTCATACTAGTTTACCGCTAGTTTCCATCATTTTTTTTCAATAGTATAAAGCAGTTTCACGCATAATTATGACATGTTTTCTAGAATCCATGATTCCTTTCGGGCTTAGCGTTAACGGAAGAGAAGGTCGTGGGTATTTTGTACTCACGGAGGAATAGAGATARATGTACAGGATCAACAGGAACAAAATCGGACGTCCCTGGCGTCTGCCACTGAAAGGATTGAAAATATCAAGGTTTCTATAACACTTGATAACATTAGCCAATTTGTACTACATTTGCTAAATAGCCGAGACTTACTACTATAGATATGTGTCCGTGATATCCAGTTTGACTGCGATGGAGGGCTTCTATGTAATAATCATGGTCTTTCTGTAGACTGGAAGCAAATCAAAATACCGCTAACTTCAAAAGGAAAGAATACATACTGARAGAAATCATGTCAAAACAAGAAGAAAAAGATRAAATAAATAAATAAATRATAAAAAAGTGAAAGAGWGGCAGTCACCATAAAAATGATCATTTCAAATCACCAGTGACGAGTTGCGRACTGAACAGTAATTGTCGAGAGAGATTTAAGGCTGAGTTTAGTACTCACCTAAAAACTTGCGATTTCTGGCTTTCAAACTTGTCATAATGTCTTAAGTAGTCCGTCGCACATATTTCATTRGACGAGGGCTTAATTAAACCAACATGAAAGCAATGTTACTTAATTAAATTGAAAGAAAATTCGTGCTTGCATGTTTACGTTTTGTGCGCGTTAAGGTTCTTAGTTTTTGTAAATGTGTAATTTTCGGGATTTTTGCTATTTTGTTTAAACAAATATAGCGTGCAGCCGAACCCAAACTATTGGTATAACAATTGTCGGCTCTTCACGCTCAAAAATCTGTCAAATGARAGAAAGAGGCAATRTAAGTCKTACATCACCGACATACGCAGCCAACTCCACACTTTTAGGGCTTGAATCTTGGCTTATCCAYAACTCAGAGTTGTCGCTAGAGCTTACAGCAAATCTGTAAGAACCTGAACATAAATAATTTTAAGTATAAGTTAAAAACTGCAGGAATGGTGAAGGCGGACCTTCATTGTGAGATGATCGACGWARAGGGACCATTAATTATGTTGGAGTCATTGTMATTCTTTCATAACAGAGTCCCCTAGGTTCCTGGTGTCTTCAAAACCAGTTTTGAAATCGAAGAAKAGTAAACAGTTTTTTGACACCGTTACCTGTTATATTCGGGGTTATGTATCCAAAAAGTCTTTGACTATATRGTCCCTTGTCTGTTAACTCAGTAGTGTATGTTATGAAGTCGAGCTGCAGAAAAATGAAAAMATACTGTTCTCTAATCTCATAATGGATTTATGCCGTGGAGAGCCTAGAATTGAAGAGACATCTTTCCGCGCTGTCTAAGCAACGTATTTTCTCATAAAGAATCCTGTCCTAAACTTGCCTCTGGTTGTCGAGGAAATTGAGTATGTATACGTAGTCCTCTGTCAATAGAAACTCCACATGGACAACTGTCAATCCAGCGATGTACGTTTAGTTTTCCCTCATACTAGATAGAAAAGGTGAAAGAAAAGGAAATCGGGCGATCACRTGTCTAGATCCATTAGCGTCTGTGAAATGTACTAAGACTATAAATCACCCCAGCTAGTCAACGGTCATATTATCAGACGGTGATAATGGGGTTATCCGTCGTMTGAGCACTAAATGTTAGCCGTCAGCATTCAAATCGCTGTTTTTAACCGTCAACTGACCGTCAAAAATAATAACCATCAAGATGTTCGTCATAGTTTATTAGTTTTCCCCAAAGTGAGGTTTTTTTCTCCTTCCCTTCGTCRGTCTTAGTTATGCGACTAGTGCTTTTAGTATCATCAATTGCAGAAAAGATAATACCATGTTATACTATATATAAGTCTAAATTCATACACTATTATAAGAATCAATGATTAACCTTACTAACAGTTTAGTATAGATTATTAATTTTTAGTGTTAAATTCAATTAGTTCATTATAAAATTAACCATCAACAGTCCGACACCAATCGTTTCCCTCAATCTTACCTTCTTTTCTTTCATTTCATCTGGTTTTAAGCAATCTTTCGTTAAAAACTGCTTTAAATAATCGTCCCCAATTTCCGAAACGCGAATTTTAGGATGCTCTTATGATAAAGTTAATACAAATATAGTGAGTGGATTACAATTTGAATGTAAAAGCGTAAAATAACTTACTTTCGAAGTTCAAGTCCAACAGTTTATCATGTTTGTTCCATAAGACAAATAGGAACAAAACTCCCCAAACACAGCCTACTAGTGAACTAAACAGTCGAGATTTTCGATCCATTAGTAAAAGTGACTTGCGTGATATATTCTCAAACGGCTTGATGACATTTCGTATTTACTCGAAATCTAAAATTGGAATATAACACGCTCTGTGATTGGTCGAAGATCGTGTTTGGAGTGTTGCCAAGCGGATTGTATTTTCAATGTGAAAAAATTTAATAAAAATTGACTGCACGTGTCTACTAGACTGCTACCAAGCAAAATAGAAATGAATTGTAATTTTAAAAAAATAAGTTTTTTTATATTTTTTGTTCGTTTGTARTGCGTATCGTGATACAAGGTTTTTCCAATTTTCCTGTGTATTGCCACATTTTTGGATGTGGACAAATTATATAAATGTGTCACTCACTCATCCACTCACTTTCCTGTAAACTTCAACAGCCTGCGTTACCAACGAGACTATGTCAGCAAATCCTACACGTCACCGGCTAGACTTGCCTTTGACAGGCGCTCGCACATGCGTGTTCAACCTGAAATGTTCGAAAGGTAAAAGTTCTGGTAGAAGGAGGGGGAGGGGTTAGTTAGGGTTAGGATTTCTTAAACAAGTGGTGCCGTCGCCATTGGTTGGTTGATTTTAAGTGCAAAAAAAAGCCTCTGTTTTTCTTTGTAAGTGCTCAGCGGCATGTTTTAAAATGTTGTATTCATACAACATTTATTATTTTTATGTGAGACTCGTTTGGATTAGTCTTTGGGGATTTGTTCCATTACTCCCATCAACATGATTGAAGTCTTTCGCAAAATTGCAAACGAGCCATGGTGGAGCTGAAATGCAATTTTCCAAATTTGGTGTGGTTGATTTTTTTAATTTGTCATTTTCTTGCAAAAATGATCTTTGATTAATTGTCTTACACCCTGTTTACATGAGATAGGGTGGCCCTAGGTGTAGGGCCAAACTCTTTTGTTTTCAATCCTCCAGGGAAAAGAAAACAAACGTAGGGGCACCATATCTCATGTAAACAGGGTCTTATAGAGCCTGGCTCTCAGAGGCAGGRCAGCGAGTTAGTCTTCTTCACATACTGTTTGTCAAACACAATATTGTAGTTCGTAAGTTTGAGGATAGAGTATAATCTTATGATTCAAGTGTTCGTTGCATGCTATTATTGTCGATGTTTTTGAAAATAGGTGTACGTTTTCAATAATATATTTATAGCCTAAGCCCTTTTAATCTTTTACCCATTAGACGGAAATAACTTGTTGCCTTAGAGGCTATGGAGGAGCCTTACTAGATTCACCACATGATATATGCATACCGTACATGTAACGTGTCCGGAATGTGCTGTCAAAATCCCGTGTTATTCTAATTTATCTCAAGACATCACGGAAGGCATTATAATGTCAATCAATATTTGCTTGATCCTTTTCGGAGGGTTTTAAGCCAAGAAAGAACAAAGAGAAGTGGAGAAATAGCATCAGAGAGGAAACGCAGTTTTTATGCTTCGTTCTTTTATTAATTTTTTAATCAGGGGRAAACAGAGAAACAGACCGTGGGGTCTACTTTGMTTTGTTTTATATGGTACTTAAGAGTTAYTGTTATTGTTATTACGTTCTCAAAACCGTGATCAAATACACAATGACGATAACATTCAATTTTTTTTCCAATTTTGAAATAACAACGACTATCTAAAACACCTAATAGCAAAAATCAATTGCAGCAAATCAGGTGACAAATCCACAGCAYGAGTTCAGTAAGTACTGATAAGGAAAGTGTTTCGAGCGCCGTTCGCCCATTTTTTTTTATTATTTTAACATTAGCTAAACTGAAAAACGCAGACCCCTTTCTAAAATACAACATAGCACTCCTTATACGTATCGCCATTATCAATTCTTTTATTTTTGCTAATTCTTGTAAAACCTTTAGAAAACTTACAACGCTAGACTTCTCGACGATATTATTCAAATACAAGGAAACATGGGTTGATAAGAGAAGGGCTTCACTCCATAAGAAGCTCTCAGAACGATACAAGATAACCAAAAACAAGTGTAGTATTTATGTAAAAGAAGTGCAAAAGCCCTGAGGGTCTACGTCAATTGAAACTTGGCTTTTTCGGRGGAAGATGTAAAAGTACTTAAAACTGAACAAGTTTTTGATTTCTATTAAATTGAGTTTACTCTAGAGACCGCTATGATGAAGATGGGTGAACTACCCCGGGGATGATTAATATCAATCAAGATTAATCTTCCAGGGAATCAATCAGTGCTTTTTTAATAAAAAACTTAATTAAGATAGTCTTATACTGTTATCATCGTCAAGTTTGATTTGTGACATATTTGTTTGATCAAAAAAGACTCCTCGCTGCTCGTCGTTCAGTGCATGTTCTTCACCCTGAGTTTCCTGTCTTTTCACGATGAATTACTTAGAGTGTTCAGTGTGAGCAATCTGTCAAGGGATAGTGTCAGAGACGTTTTATCTGCCATTTTAATTTGATTTGTCACAGGCTTATAAGAGTGTGCTTTTGAAGAGAGGAAACAGCTGAGTCTGCACAAGAACTAATAACCGATGTACTACTTCAATCCTACTAGAATTAGCAAGGTATTACGAGTGGATTTGTAATAAAATACTCMTTCACAACTGATACTCATAAGTAGCGGTTTTTGAAAACTTTATCGAATTTATGAAATTTTCCTGTATAAAAATTATTACATTGGGAATAACATCTACCCCGGGCTATATTTCGTCTTTGATTCCTGATTATATTTAAGTAGATAAACTTCCCGCCCAAGAGGTAATCACAACGAAAATAAGAAATAGCAATGTTGAAATGGGGAAATTAAAAAACGCTGACTTTTTGAAAAACAAAATWKGTTAGAGCGACATGTTATTGTTTGATAATAATTCTAGCTTATAAATCTAGCTTATAAATCTTACTACGGCACAAAAACCCCTCTATCAGTTTCAAATTGTAGTTAAGTGGGAAAATGCAAGCACTAAAAATAATTTCTTTAAAACGCAAATAGCTAAATATCCAAATTCTTAAAAAACCGGATCTGGACGAGAAAAATTGTTTTGACCGTTAATGGAAGTGCGATCGTAGTATCASTGGGTTCATTCTTGGTGGAACAGTGTAGGTTCGCCGTGGGAGGGGTATTGAGTTGTTTGTATATTTACATCAGAACTGATTAGTGTGGTTCCGGACTAAACAGCATAAAAAGACACTGGCACCWTCACTTTCAACTACTGACTGACCGAAGCACAGAGGACGCAAGGTAAGCCAAAAGACAGWATATTTTGTTTCTGTGACTTAGTGAAACATTATGAAGTGAAACATTACAAWCCGTGACGATTCAGGGAAGTATAATAAATTTTAGAACCAAAATAAAGTAAAAAATCTTTTGCTTTCAATGCTAGTGTTGACATCAAAGAAGGTTTGAGGTAAATAGGGAGTTAAAATTAGATATATTGCCATTTCACAAAAGTTTCCGAAAGGAAAGAATTCAATTGGCRTTATTAAAAAAGCTGAAAGTGATAGTTGAAAGTCACTCTTTGATTTGTTTATAAAAATTACTGATTCATATCACAATAAATATAAGAAACTGCGAAAATTTTGTAAGAAATTTCTTTGTCAAGATTGTGAGTTTTTTTTAATAAGTTTTGTCAGCTGTTCAGGCGATCAAGTAAAGATGCAGTTACAAGTTGTCACAAAACCTTCTAGAATCTAGAAAGAACTTACAAAAGCTATATGTCTGAAAACGTTATACTTCAGCTCAATAGTTTTCCGAAAAGAATAGTTTAGTCGACTGATTGTCTGCTTGTGGTTTTTTTTGTGAGCAGTTGGGAATGATTGGCCAATCCAGGCCATTGTTTCAATGGCTTTTTTGGCTAGTGTTTTTCACCCTTGACATATTCTATCATATTGATATTGATTACAACTACAAAATCAATCTGTTCTTATTAATTTTCTCTTGACCCCAATTACAATTCTAATATGGCCTTGAATACCAACACAGCAGGCTTAAAACAAAAAGAAACCTTCCTTTTTCGCATACGCAAATATATGACATCTGTATTTGGACAAGGTTCATACGAATGAGTACACTTGAAGTTTATATCCGTTCAGAATAGYAAGGTTTGAATAAGGACGCCAACATATCAGCCAAACGACAAATAAGTCACTCATTCTGGTTACTTTTCCCCCATATTTACCTACAGTGTGGATTTGATAAAAAAAAATTCAAAAGTAAAAAAGCTCTCCGCGCCAATTAAAGCGAGATTCTTCACATTTGTAGCTTTTTTTAGCTTTTTTTCGTTACTATAGTCGATTTTCATCAAATGTWGCTGAAATGTCTTTTTTAAAATTAACGACCTAGAAATCATAGAAAACTATGCTCCCCCACTAGGCTCAAAGCGCATTTTTCAAGTTTTTTTTTGCTCTACATTGGTACGAAAACGTTAATCTCATTATTTCACTCAACATTTCGGCTTTTTATTAAAGAACTGAACAATTCGACACTTGTGAAGTTCCTAAAAAACACCAACTAATATATTTGTGTTTTTTTACTATTGCGATGTAGACACAAGTAAAGTTTATATAAATCAAGTCTAATAAGGTTGTTCTATGATACGACTTTACAATGATACCTTTCTATGTAGGCTGCGTTGTTGTTTGCGTTATTTTCTTAAGAACGTTTTGCATTTAAAGAAGTTCCCCAAACAGTTCAGAAAAAGTTCAAGGCCGTTCTAGTACTGAAAGTGYCAATCGAATTAAAGCTGTACAGCATCATAGCCGAAGGCTAATCCGCCCCTTGGCTTGAATGATTCAGTATAGTGATGCATTTGTTTGTCAAGAATTATACGAAGATCTTTATACATTTGATGAGCACGTACAGTTTAGTAAATCCCAAAGAGTCTTTAACATCGTTTTATTAGTATTTATTTTCTCGGGATACCAGTTTTGCTTGTCATTTATTCTTGATCGCGTGGTTTCCACCAAGACAAATAACTAATAAAACACTTGAATCAAATGAACATATYACTTGTGAGCGAGTTGGTACTCGARCCTATTGGACCACTGCGTCACCCAGGACACGGTAGAWAGTCGAGCGGTAAACCAAGRCTCCACCCTTGTCGCCTTTTTTGATGGGYCATCTATTTGTAATTATGATCGTAAAGAAAGACAAAGCGCGATATCAAATTCTMATTATCTCGCAAGAAATGAGTTTTTATTTTTGTATTTTTTCTGTATTCCGTCCGTAGTATCAGTAAACCATAGTGTCATTGTTATGAATTATGGAGTCGGCGACAGAATCTGTGACCTCTAAGCCAACGAAGCCTAAGTACAAACAGAATCACTGTTGGTGAACCGTAATTAATTTCTATCACTTACTGACAAACATTTGATTTGAAAGAAACCCTTAAATAAACTTTAGTGAAAACTGAGGACACCGAAATATGAATATATAAAACCAGGTTGTGACGCTTTGCGGAGTTTACGTGGGATTGTTGTCGCTCTATTAATARTTATTTATACAACATTTCTTCTTATTGTTTACTTTATATTTATTCCAGCACGTAGGAAGGATCTTCGTTATTCTAATAATCTGATTTGTTATCTCAAACCAAGCCCAATATGACATCTGTAGTGAAAACATTGGCTTTTCTTGCTATCCTTGTTATTCTCATTGTACCGCATCCTTCCAGTGGATTCTACAAAATCGGCAGACGGGAAGTTCCCCGACAAAACGGTGAAGTTAAAGCCCTCGAAGGTAGCGCCCGAGAGGCTGATTTTGATGATTGGTTGAGAAATATCATGTCTTTACGAGAAGCTCGAMGAATGGAAAAAATTGCCAAAATGAATGGAAATCAATAAACAGGTAAATATGTATCAAGATAGTGGTGCTAGCACACGAGGCAAAGCAGAGYTCCTCTAGGCCGAGTTACCATATGTTTTGATCAATCCCCAATGCATGCATCTCAACCGCGACAAAAATTTCACTTACTTGTATCATTTTTACAATTATGCTAMTTTCTTGTTTGCAGGAGTGAAACTTCAAAGCAAGCAACCCAACTTTACTTCAAATGTTACCGAAAGTTGTTTTGAACTAGATATTTTGAATAAAATCTTACAAGTATAGTAACTTATTTCACGTTTTTTTTTTCCTTTTTAGTTATTTGAAATAAAAACAGCCGTCGCATTGTCGTTAATTATGTTTATTACCTCGACTTCGTAAACTGTTGAAATAAATGTTGGGAGTACCTTAACTAGTCGTATTTATTGTGTTTTATTAATTTCAGAGCGATACACGTTGTTTTACGTGTTTCGTCTGTCTCAATAAAGAATTAGCATAGATGTTTAGAATAAAAAAGGACGATTTGAGAGACACGGTAGAGTCCCAAATTCCAAGAAAGTTCAGTCGTTTTCTTTTATTTCTTGTCTTTGGACAAACTAACTTACATATACGGGAACTATTTCTTAAAACTAGCAGTACACTTGGAACGTGGACATAACTTAATACAATAAACGACATACTTATATTCCATTGCGGTCTTTTCACTCGGTGACAAATTTTTGTAAAAGTTCTCTTATTGTTGATGGCTTGTACAGACACTATATRACCCTAAATGAATAATATACTCCACCCCTGCATTATTCCTGATTTTCAAAAGACGTCTCTTGGTGAGGTGGTCTCTCTTTAGYGACGTTGTTCAGTATCAAACATGTCAGGTTCAACCTTAGCTTATCTCATTGGTTTGYTGTCCTATGATGGTCGAACAGATTTGAAATCTCACGCGACTTTGAGACAAACTCGAAAAATTCAGCATTAAGCAACATAGTACTCTTCCACAAAAACTTTTTTCCGAAACGTCCTTTTCATAAAAATTACTTATATTTTACAGTATAATTCTTTCATATATAATATCTTTTTAATAYATCTGTGGCTTTTCAATGTTATGCGTGCTATTATCGCTTTTTAATGTAAAAACTTCGTAGTCTTCAACCGTGAAATARTATTCTCCCATCAATAGTTCTGAYGAAGCGTCYGCACCAGWATACGAATATGGTAAATTGGAATACGACGTTTTATCTACATTACACTTATCGGTGATACATAGGTCTGCTCCTGCACCAAACATTGGTCCATACCTATTAACAATGGAAAATTGTATCAAACTATTATGATATATCATGAAGGGTTTAGTTTTCATGTACATATATGCAAATGTTATTGGTATATGTAGGTACTTACTGTGGATGATGAAGAGTTGCATACTTAGGTTGTACAATATTGAACTTAGCTGCTGTCATACCACTTGTATTGACCAATGTAAACAAAAAAGACCTACACAGTAGATTCATAAACCAATCAACACTTACCATAAACTGCACTAATATTACTGATAATTACTGAAAATAACAATGTTAAATGTACCTGCTTGATGGCATATACTTTCCTTGYTGATTATCACTGCGCCAGGGTTGATCACTGAAACCACCACAAATACAGYCATTTGTACCCTGGAATTCCAACATATGAGTTGTCAATTCAATTATCAAACAAAATGTAACTGTCTAGAGAAATAATGAGCTGTAGCAAATGTTGCGATTTATGTCARAGATAGATTGAGATCTTGATTTTGTCTCTCCATTTTCACTTTGCCAACCTTAACGATTGTCATTGTGGGGGAATGACCATCACAACTGCTGTGGAAAGCTGATGCCATGAAACTGTTTTTGGAAGCTTTGAATAGCAGTCGCCATTCTTGGTTTTCATTCCCATGCCAAGAATTCAGTATTTTCTGTAATTTTAGTTTATCTTTTGTTAATATTGTACTGTTATGAAACAACTTGCTGGCAACTCTTGGTCGCAGTCTTGGATCAGCAGGACTTCCAAACCTGGTAGGAACTGCAGCAAATCGATATCTAAAACATKAACAATTAACATAAATTACACCAGTAGTAAACAGGTTTTTCAAGTAATGACAAAATTACACACCCTATGGCTTTTGCATTGTACAATAAATACAATAATATTGATGCAACAACCTACACCTAATTATGGGAGTACCTTTCCAAAGACAGTTCCATAGGCACAATACCAGTTGGTTCAACCTCCTCAGCAAACACTGTACTATTGATTAACAGAAGTTTGACGTAGTCAATTACRCCTGATAATTCCTATAAAGACAAATGTCACAGGTTGCTTAATTAAAGAAGAAATTAAATAATGTTTATGCTTTTGTAAGTAAAGCCAAAAAGTGTTAGCAAGGTAGAAAAAACATACTTGTAATATTATTTTGCGGTCTTCTTCTGTCCATTGTGAGGTGGGTTTATTGATTCCTGTATTCGTTTTGGCCCATTTTAAAACAGCTCGCCACACTTCATCTTCTGATACTGAAAACTGAATATTTTTCAAGAGTATTGATAAAAAATGATAACATTTAATTTCACCATAGATCAAGAAGGCATAAAAGAGAAATATTTTTACCTTGTCACTTGATATCAGTTTGATCAATGCAGGCTTTGGTAACTGAGAAAATCCCTTTGAATGTACCACCTCTTCTGCATTCTCTTCCATGAATGCTACACACTTATCCACCAGAGCCCTTGCTCCTTTAGATTGTTGCCCATCAGTATTAGGACCTGTACCCCCTGAGAGAGCCATGGCATCTGATAGGAAAGTAGCAGCATTTTGGACATCAACACTACTCATGAAGTAGTTCTCACATGCYGTTTGGAGATCAGAAATTTCCAAGTCTTCTGCAATACGCAGCGTTTCAAAAGCAGTATCACTTTTAAATTTGATCTRTTCATTGAACAACAAAGAGAAAGATACATTAGCTCTATCATATCTCGTTCATATCTGGTTGTTTGTATAGTTGTCATTACTTAGCTCGGTTTATTTACATTACTTGTTTACTTACAAACATGCCAGTTTCGAGAGGTGCATTACAAAATGTAATTTAGATATATTCAGATATAGAGAAAACATACTTACTTTTCCGGTATATATAAAATCTATRACTTCCCTGAAAACACTTGCTTTAAATCCAAGTTTTTTAAGGACATATGGAGAACTAGGGCCGTATGATTTTGACCAAAGTTCTCTWGCTCTTTTGCGAAAGAATTCACATCTTGTAATCAAAATCAAACGATGAGCGAATACGCGTGATTCTTCCTTCCCAATAAGAAACAGAACATCTCCAGTTTCATCATCATTAACCAAACTTCGAAGATCATTCAGTAGTGATTCGACGCCTACCCAGGTCGTATCTTTTTCCTCTGCAAAAGAAGAAATGACAGCCGCCATGTTTGTTTTAGACGCGACAAAATTAGGCAGGCATTCCTTGACAAACAAAGGGAGCCCAAAGGTGGAATGAAACATAATACTTGAACTGACGTCATTAAAAATGGACGCTTGCTTCCCTCGAACGTCTCCCGTAATGTTTATATAATCTATGGATGAATGGAGTCTTTAAAACATGCCTTTCAAATCTTTATCAAAGTACCTTATCGTTGGAATATCGCTGGTGACTATCATGAACACGCTGGTTCTGTTTTCTTGCAGGTTTTCAGGTAAGAGAGTTTGAATCATACTCAATGCTTCGAACGCTCATTTTTCTCGTTTATTGAATCAAYATAAGAGTTATTTACTTAATCTAACTGTTGTTCGAAATTTATTCGGCAATATATGGTTTATTTGTGGACGATTATTGTAACATTCTGTTGCCAAAACGTTGCAAGGTCTTTGTTTTTCTCAATGTTTAGCATGATCTACTTTAAATAGACCAGTAAGAACGCTGTATTTGTGATAGTCCATAGTTTGGTAGATACTCATGTCATTTATTTCCCTTTAGAATCAGGATGTCCATTGTCCAGTAACTATAGAGACACATCAAGTCACCTACCAGTACCCAGTGGTGAATACAAGCGCAAAGTAAAACTTGATAGTAAAGAACTCTTACTGTTTGAGAGTCAAGTTAAATTTCAAGATAAGACAGAAAAACCAATCAAACCAGTTATTCAAGACAAACTAGACAAACCAGAGACAAAAGATGAAATTTCAAAAGAACATTCTTTTCGAGGCAAAAATGAAGAASCATTAAGAARGGAGGAGACAGGAGGGCAAACAAAGGGTYAGTAACTTATTTTAATTGTGTTATATTTTTGTGCTACTGGAAATGTGGATTGATGTTAATATTTATATTTCTCTTCAGATGGCTCAGACCCAGATAAGGTGATGAGTGTTGCAGATTATGAAAATAGAAATCATGATGACTTTAGTGTAAAGGAATCTGTTATTGCAGGGAGAATAAGATCAGATAAAGGTAAGCATGATAATATTCTCAAACTGATCTCAACTGTTAAGGGAGACATTTTGTTGATTGCTTTGGAGCTGGGACATGATTTAAGGTGTTGTTATTCTTCATTTTTACTATACGTCACATCTGCCATGTTGGAGGAACTTCAGCAAAGGATTTCCTATTAGTGTCTATTGTTCATTTCTCCAACATGGCTACTGGACTTTTAAATCTCATGGGAGTGGTTGAAAAGAATTAAYATTTATAACACTCTAAATCATTTATAGTGCTGGCAAGGCAGAGTTTACTACATATGTTTGTGACACCTTTATAAGTGTATATTTTAGGATAAGATCATGATTTAGCAAGTTGACTGACCAAGTTATTCATTTGTAGCTTTTCTTGTTATTGGTGTGCCATCCATGAAGCGAATTAAAGCCAATTACCTCACACAGACACTGCGAGAGCTTGTTGATGGTCTGGAAGACTCAGAGAAAGAAGAAGTGCTCATTTTAGTCTTCGCTACAGACTTTGATCCAAGTGCTGTTATAAATGTAGTGGACGAAGTCCGTTCTAAATTTCGAAGAGAGCTTGASTCAGGATTGATTCGTGTCATTAAAGCCCCTCGCTCTTTTTACCCAAAACTTGACAAACTTCCGCAGCTTTGGGGTGACAAACCTGAGAGGGTGTACTGGAGATCAAAGCAAAGCCTTGACTATGCATTCCTCTTTAAGTATGCCAAAGACTTAGGGCGTTATTACTTGCAAATTGAAGATGATGTTTCCACCACTAATGGATACCTCAAAAAGATCAAGGATTTCATCCAAAGACATGAAACTCGAAAATGGTCGATCTTGGAGTTTGGCGCAAGGGGTTTTATTGGGATGATGTATCGAGCCTCTGACTTAGGACCATTATCGAAGTTTGTYAAGATTTTTTACTGGGTGTCTCCTATTGACCTCTTATTCAGACAGTTCAATGATTTTCACCTCTATGGYAACCCTCAGTGGCCTAAGCTAAGCCCACCTCTTTTCCGCCATGTGGGGACATTCTCGTCTTTAAATGGACAAGTGCGCAGTCTCGAAGATATTAAAGGAAATGGAAAACGTCTTCACAAAGATAGTCATAACCCGGATGCGGAAGTGACAACTTCAATACGACAGAGCGTAAGACATTCTAAAATAAAGTCKGCATACGATACGTTGTATCATGGGGCTTTCTGGGGAAGAAATRTTAAAAAAGGGGATTCCATCATTGTGCATTTCACCAAGGCTACCAAAATCACCAAGCTTATTGTGGAATCAGGAGGAGCTAGAGCTCCTGAAGACTACYTCGGTGGTGCAAGAATATTACATGCTACACAAAACGAAGATGGCGAATGCGAAGATTACTATTTTTGGAAGGAATTTGTAGATATGCCACAGCTTAAAGTGRCTAGCGATAAGGGTACTGTTTGTGACTGTGTGAAAATAGAAATAACCAGACTACGGAGAGACAGAAAAGGGAATGCACGATGGCTTGTTGTTCGAGAAATAGCCATATGGACGACAACGTAAAACACTGATTTGAAATAAAGAAACCTCTACTGTGGTTTCAACGTGCCTTGCCCGAAAAAATTCTCCCATAGTAGCGTTTTTTGAGGGAGCTGAGAACCCGTGATACCAGGGGCGTGTGTAGGGGTCTTATCATGGGGTGTTGCTTTTTTCCCTTTCCCAAGGCCTATACTAAAATATATACTACAATATAAAGAGAATATAGCTATGTAACTAAGAGTATCTAGTCAAGTGTGGATACTACAATATAAAGAGAATATAGCTTTGTAACTAAGAGTATCTAGTCAAGTGTGGATACTACAATATAAAGAGAATATAGCTATGTAACTAAGAGTATCTAGTCAAGTGTGGATAGATAAGAGATGCCGCATATATATTGCAATTTCAGGTCTTTTATCGATTTTTAATATAAGAAGCATTTCTTTTGTTGGATGACATGACTCCTTGCCTCTCACTGTCTCCATCAGGCGTCTAGTGTCCTTTACGCATATACGAACGTGCCTACTAGTGGCAAGGAAACATAATTTTCACAAAATTACTTAAAAATTCACATAAAATTGATTGCTTTTATATGCCCTCGAAGTTTCTCAAAACACTGGAAATCGCATTTCCAAGAGTTATTATTTCAAAATTTGCGGACGTTCGACCCCAAGATCCAAAATATGTGCTTGGGTCCCTGACATGTGCGTACTAGCCAAAAAGTCCAAGCTACGCGCCTGTCCATATCCCGGCTAGTCCCCGGGTCACATGATTCACATGTATTCGCAGGACTTACTAAACTTGACTGAATTTTAGTGCAATAAGTTTGCATGTRATGTATGGCAAACTTAACAAAGTGACGATGTATTCAATAATGGTGATCTTTTCATTGAGTCACGTCGGTAAGAAATCCTTAGTTTATATCGTGTTTCAACATTACATTGATTGGTCAAACAGTCGTGATTCGATTTCTTGCTCCATTCCCGGAATCATAATGGTGTATTTTGAATATAACGACTTTTATTGAGAAAAAAATATTATTCAAGCTTAAACGTTAGAGTGTTTTAACACTTAAAAATTAAAAGCAACAAAGATTTCGCGGATTACGAGCTTCGAAAGGCCGCGCGCGGGTCTCTGGTGAATATACATGTTATGTTGTCAACTGTTGTGCATATATGTCCTTTATGTAAGTGGTAAAACAGCAACTAAAATTTACRTGTCTTTGAGCTTTGAAAATGGGATTTTTCATGGTCTGAGTGGAGGAGATCTAGGAAGCATTACTGTGACACGTGCAAACGTATGAGACTGGGTTCGAAAGTCTGAAAAACGTGAGGGACTGGACAGAGGTTTCTAGCTCCGCCATTTTGCTACTAATACATCTTTCCGTCCATCTTTCCACCCTTTGCGAGGTTATATTGTAGAAAATGTTGGGTCAAGCCTTAAGACAAGCAAGAACAGCCCTCTTTAGACGTAGAATGACAACAGGACGAATGCCAGATCATATAGGAGAAGGCGGTCAACAAATTGTAAGAGAAAGTAGTAACTCTTATTACGCACCCAAAAGTGTTTGATTACAATTAAAATACAACCGATGCCTATAATGTCACTTTAAAACAACTTTAAATACAATTTACTCAGTGGTCGCATTTTCTTTGAAAATGGATCAACCTAAGTATATCTTATAAGCACTAGCATTATACAATAATTTAACGTTTGGGAGTCTTGTAAGTTCATTATAGGAAATAAGTCTTAGTTTTTGAATAGTGTATTTCTGGTCTAAAGAAAATTCTTTTATTTCACAGTCAACAGCTCATCAAGTAACGGCCCTTACTTGCATTGGCCTTGCTCTTCTTGGACCTGGTGTATTCTTAATGTTAACACGGAAGAAACCAACGGCTGAACATTAACTGGTATCAAGAATCGACATTACATCTGTGTGAACTCTCTATTTCATTGTATTGTTGATATGATCATTTAATCTTGACCAGAGACTTTTGTAAAGTGATTTTTTTCTCACCAAGAATGTGTTATAAAAATAAATACTTTTACCACTGAYTGATGATTCCAGTTTAAGTAATAATGCATGCCTAGTTGTCAGTAAAGGGTTATGCAAAGAAGACTTCTTTCCTTTTTCATCTTGTTGTTCCACAGGTAGCCCAAGCACTGGGCTTGACAGTGAAGAACGAAAAGTTAGATAAAAGTGGTAAAACTGAATAAAATTATTTCAAACTACAACATAGTGTTCTTCTTATTTTTTYTCAACACCCCTGTGAAGTTTCAGCTCAATATGATAAACTTTCCCCTACATATATATATTATGGGGAAAGTTTATCATATTGAGCTGAAACTTCACAGGGGTGTTGAGAAAAATAAGAAGAACACTATGTTGTAGTTTGAAATAATTTTATTCAGTTTTACCACTTTTATCGAACTTTTCGTTCTTCACTGTCAAGCCCAGTGCTTGGGCTACCTGTGGTTGTTCCTCATTCTATGCAAATTGGTCTTTAGAGTGCTCGCACTAAATGTGTGAAAAAGAAATATTACAAAATAGGTGATAAATTATACAAATAACTTTGTTTCCTATTGTATAATCAAGACTATTTAGTAGTAATTAGTACTATTTGTTTCACGCTTTAAGTGCGAGTACTCTACTGATGGCAATAAGTTTTTTTTATTGCATAAGAATTCCTGCAAATTATAATGAAACCACCTCTGATATTCAATTACCTATAATAACACTGAGAGAAGCATGTAAGGGTGTCATTTGGACTGTATTATTGTCTCAAGACACCAACTTAAAGTCTACAATTTTATTGGAAAAAATTACAAAAGTCAGACCTTCCTTACATGRAAAWTCAAAMATATTGAAGGTCCAGGTTTTTTGGGTTTTGATTTTTTTATTGATATTCAGTAATTCTCAAATGAAGTTCTGTGCTAATAAAATTAATGAAGCATGTGTTACATGAACATTTTTTCCATTTCTTTATTTATTCATCCATTCATATTRCACAAACATAATTTACAAATTGTTGGAGGGGTTGGGGGCTGATWCTTCAATTATTGACTTGTGTAATTTGGGTGAAGATAAYCTCWTATWTTKYRARRMG